CTTATCCTTCAGGAGGATATAACAATATGAATAATCAATCTCGACCTGGAGACCAAACCCAAATTCAGGGAAGCAGGCAATACCCAGCCATAAAACAAGAAGTACCCTCAACTTCCAATTTTAAAAAGTACCAAAGCATTAACGTTCACGATGAACAATCCATCCACGAGAATAACGACTGGATCGATAGCCAAGAGCAAAACTCTAACAATGAGTTTTACCAAGATCAACTGACCCAAGAAAATTACCCTGAGTCGGACGACTTAAATTTTCAGTCAACTCCCAGCGAAGGAACAGAAACATAGAACCTAATAATTTCCTACCCTACATCGTAATAAATACTCCTGCAGGACCTTTAAAATTTCTTATTGACACCGGGGCCAATAAGAATTACATAGATCCAGCAAAAATATCGCCGAAACATATTCAAAACTGTGATGCTACATGTGTGAGCAACATAAGTGGACAATTCCAAATTAATCAAATAACAAATTTATCTGTATTCAAAAATAAAGCCCCATTAAGTTTCAAATTATTTAAATTCCACCCATTTTTCGATGGTTTAATAGGTTACGAGTCTCTTAGTACTCTTCAAATCGAGATTGTAACTTCAACCAATACTTTAAGATTTCCTGAATATTCCATTCAAATGTCTAGGAAATATCCAGACTCCTTCTCAGTGACTTTGAATGCACTAGAAGAAACCCCTATTTCATTGAACATCAATCTAGCGAAAGGAGATTTTTATATCGAACATCCTCTTCCATTGACGCACGATGTGATGGTTCTTCCAGGAGTTTACACTGCCAATAACAATAGAGCCCATGTTCTACTAAAAAACTGTTGTAATTTTCCAGTAAAAATTTGCCCCAACCAAGTAATTTGTTCAGAGCTAAATAATTTTGAAGAGCAACCTGAAATTGAAAAGAATGAACGGGAGTTTATATTTAATTCTTGCACGATTGACCCAAGGTTGAAAAATCAACTTCGCGTTGATCATTTAAACACTGAGGAAAAAAACAAACTTTTGAGTCTTATTTCTAAATACCCTGGTATTTTTTACATTGAAGGAAACGATTTAACGTTTACCAACGTTGTAAAACATAAAATTGAGACTAGGGACGAAATCCCTACTCATGCAAAAAGTTACCGATATCCCTATTGCCATAAGCAAGAGGTGCAAAATCAAGTAACAAAAATGCTAGCTCAAGGCATAATAAGACCTAGCACATCTCCATGGTGTTCACCCATCTGGATTGTGCCAAAAAAGGTCGACGCTTCGGGTAAACAAAAATGGCGTTTAGTTGTCGATTATCGTAAGGTCAATGAAAAAACGATAAGCGATAAGTACCCGCTTCCAAACATCACTGAGATACTCGATAAGCTCGGTAGATGTCAATACTTCACCACACTGGATCTTGCCTCTGGTTTTCACCAAATAGAAGTTCATCCTGAAGATATACAGAAAACGGCGTTTTCCGTCGACTATGGGCTATATGAATACCTTCGTATGCCCTTCGGCCTGAAGAACGCACCAGCGACTTTTCAACGCGTAATGGATAACGTGTTGAGAGATCTAGCAGGCAAATGTTGCCTAGTTTATATGGACGACATAATTGTCTTTTCAACATCCCTGCAAGAACACATAGAAAATCTGAATAGAATATTTAAAGCTCTCGAAAAAGTCAATTTAAAAATTCAGCTTGACAAGAGCGAATTTCTGGAAACGGAAGTTGCATTCTTAGGTCATATTGTTACGGACCAGGGAGTTAAACCAAACCCCGACAAAATTCATGCAATTCAACATTGGCCTATTCCGAAGAACCAAAAAGAACTTAAAAGTTTCTTAGGTAACTTAGGCTACTATAGAAGGTTCGTTCGTGATTTTGCTAAAATCACGAAACCCTTAACAGCACAATTACGCAAGGGCGAAACTGTTGAGCATACGCCATTATTTATAAAAACCTTTGAAACATGCAAAAGTTTGCTTACACATAGTAACATTTTGCAGTACCCAGATTTTGAAAAACCATTCGTGTTAACCACAGACGCGAGCAATTTTGCTTTAGGAGCAGTTTTGTCACAGGGAAATATTGGAAAAGACAGACCTGTTGCATTTGCTTCTAGAACCTTGTCGAAGACCGAAGAAAATTATTCGGCAATTGAAAAGGAATTGTTAGCCATTGTGTGGGCTGCCCAATACTTTCGACCCTACCTTTTTGGTAGGAAGTTCATGCTCTATACGGATCATCAACCCCTAACATATGCATTAAACTTAAAAACGCCTAATTCTAAGCTCGTTAAATGGAGGCTTCAACTAGCAGAATACGATTTCGAAATAAAACATCGACCAGGCAAACAGAATGCCGTTGCCGATGCATTATCCCGAATACCAAGTACAATCAACTTAAACGAAGAATGTTCAGATACGAACTCAGTCCACTCAGCAGACACTGACGTTTCAGAGTTTATTCAATGTACCGAATTACCTATAAACGTGTTCCACAATCAAATAATTCTTAAATTTGGCACTGCAAACTCTGAAACATATCAAGAAATATTTCCAAAAGTTCATCGTCGAGTTATAACCAGAAGTCATTTTGGGACCCCCGCATTAATAAATATTTTTAAAGAATGCATGAACTTCAAAAGGCTGAATTGCATACGATGTCCTGAAAACCTTATGGAGTCAATCCAAACAGTCTACCGTACATACTTCAGCCGATGTAGAACTTTCCGCGTAAAAATTACGCAGAAGATGTTAATTGATATCCCTGATGAAGTCGAACAAGATTTGCTTATAGAACAAACGCACGAAACCTCTCATCGAGGAATTCAAGAAAATCATGCCGAAATTCTGAGAAGGTATTACTTTCCCAGAATGAAAGCAAAAATTAGGAAGTATGTCATTTTGTGCAAAACATGTAACAAAATGAAATATGAAAGGAAACCCTATCAAATCCAGCTAGGAGAAACGCCTATTCCTAAAAAACCATTGGAAATTGTCCATATGGACATTTTTATATCACAGCCGAGCATATTTCTCTCAGCTGTAGATAAATTCTCAAGGTTTGGAACTTTGATTCCAATCAAATCGAGATCTATACCCGATTTAAGAAAAGCATTAATCAAATACTTCTCTCTCTATGGGCAACCAAACCTTATCGTTTCCGATAATGAACCGGCCCTAAAATCCATTGAGGTCCGAGGAATGTTAAACGACTTGAACATTCAACAGTACTTCACACCAGTGAATAATAGTGAAACCAATGGCATAGTTGAACGATTTCATTCAACTTTGGTCGAAATATTCAGGTGTAACAGACATAAATACGAAAATCTCTCTCTTAAGGAGATGTTTCTGTTATCATGCACACTATACAATAACGCCATACATTCCTCTATCAATCTAAAACCCCGTGAAGCATTTCTAGGGATTAAAGATGGTGAAGAAAGACCATTGAATAAGCAACGACTATTACAAGCTCGTGACAAATTTTATGATGAAGTAATAGTCACAATGTCCAAAACCCAAACCAATCAACACGACTATCACAATTCAAATAGAGAAAAACCACCTACCCTCGAAACAGGACAGTTAGTATTCCTTCAAAGTCAGGGGATAAAGTCAAAACGCAGAAATCGTTTCGAACCTGTGGTTGTCCAAAATGATCAAATGCAAACTTTTGTCGATGAGAACAATAGAAAATTACATAAAACTAAAATCCATCGCATAAGGGAATAGCTTCCAATAATTGTCCATACTTCTTTTAGAATCCCAAATTCCGAAATGAACGATCGATCGAGCGACGAAATTTTGTACAGTCTATGCTACGCACAGATTCTCAAAATCTCATTCATTATCAGAGATAGACCTTCCAATCCCTCAAAGGAAGAAGCCAAAGCGCAGCTTTCGATTTGCGAATCGTTGTTCACGCTCGCTGCAGCAGCTGCCCTGCGCCAAGGTATGAGGAGAGGAACTACCAAGGCATTGGTAGACTTAATGGACAAAATTAAAGAGTTCATCGAGTGAAATGTCCAAACTAGACATAAAATTGTAAGGACCGAAGTATTCTACCTAACCACAACACTAATAATACTGAGCTCTCCAGTGGCCGCTAGAATGTCATTGGTTGATGCACATAATAAGCACTAATCTTACTAAATTTAATCACTATACTTGGAATGGTCACTATTCCTTAGCCTTACATTATATAATTTCTACCCGACTAGACTAATATGAATCTCTTTTTAGGTTCCATCCTTGAAGTGGAAAAGACAATCAAAAAGAACACCGTGCTTACTATTCCTTAGATTGGACTAATATGAATCTCTTTTTAGGTGACTAATCTTTGAAGAGGAAAACACGGGAACCCAAGAAGTTGTTCTCTGTAAGTTACGTACCTCATCGAGACACTATAACAATGACATCGACTGTGGTAATACTACTAGTATTCATGACATCGACTATTGCTGGTTCGAGCATACAACTACACGACTTGAGCAACAATCCAGGGTTGGTATCTCTAAATTTAGGACACGGACGTATTCAAGTAGGTTCGCATAAAATTTTTCACGTGATCGACATTTCACATTTAGAACCAATTATTCTAAAATTGAACTCAATAATAAACGACCTCAAAGTATTCAACTTCAGAGATACTATAAAATTGCTCAATAGGAAGCTAGAAACCATTCACGTGATTTACAATAATATTATGCCTCTATCTAGGCAAAAACGAGGCTTATTTGATGGAGTAGGAAACATGATAAAAGTAATAACAGGAAATTTAGATAACAATGACTTATACAAAATTAACCACCAATTTGAAACATTGTCCAAGAAAAGTAATGCCTTAATAACGGCAAACAATGAGCAAGTAAAAATTAATCATAAAGTGCAGGATAGAATGAACAGAATCATTAAGGAGCTGAAAGAACATCAGAAAATAATAGTAAAAAACTTTGTTAAATACAGACATAATTTTATTAATGACAGGAACAACACGGAAGAAATCGCAATCCTCAAAGAAATTTTCAATCTCAATGTAAACCTAGATCTCGTAAAAGAATACCTTTATAATATATTTGAATCAATACAAATGTCTAAAGCAAAAGTTATCTCAAAAAATATTCTCACAACCGAAGAAATATTAGAAGCAATGTCAATTTTGAAAAGTGAAAATGTTACTGTTGATAGTTATGAACAAGCCATTGAATATCTCGAACTGATTGTACTTCATAGCAATACCAAAATTGTATTTGTAATTTTAATACCAACTCTGAAGGACGCCATCTTCGAACATCAACTCATCGAGCCGGTTGTCAAAGAAGGAAAGGTGTTGAATCTATTCGTGAACGAAGCATTCACCAACACTAAGGAAACGTATCTTATAATAGGTGACTGTCAGCAAATTGGAAACAATACTATCTGCAGCAAAGATCGACTAAAGGATGTTTCATTCGACACATGCTATTCCAAAATCCTTCGAGGATTATCAGGTAATTGTGAACTTGTCGAATCCTCGGCAAAAACAGAAATCAAGCAAATAAGTTCCAATTACATTATCATCGATGGTTTGAAAAGTCTGCCAATCACAACAGACTGTGGACTTTCGAATCGAAATATTTCCACAGCCACACTCATTTATTTCAAAAACTGCACAGTGGTAGTTAATCACACATCATTTACCAACATAGAGTACTTTACTCGAGATTCTCCAGTACTAATTCCCTTAAATGGTTTACAAATAACTGGGAAGACTGTAGATACGAACATAACTCTACATAAATTGAAGGAGATACATCTCGATACTCGGAAACAGCTTCTTGCTTTACGCAAGCAACATCAACATACAACAATTGGAACATCCATGGTCATAATAACCATTGCGATAGCATTTGCCTTTTATCTGTTCAAAGATCGTTTCAGTCACAAGCCAAATTCATCGTCCAAAATTGTCGAACCGGGACAGTTCGAACTGGAGGAGGGAGTAGTTAAAGCCGAAGCCATCTCGAACCCCAACCTTTGCAGCCACCCAACCAATGAAGACCAAATAAATCATCTACAGCAACAGCAACAACAACTAGCTAGATCGCTCGCCTTATTAGCAAGCGAACACGAACAGCAGCAGCATTAACCGACCCAGAGCACCAAAATTGAATCCACACCAACGGCAGTAGCACTGACTGACCCAGCGCACCATCATCATCATCATCATCATCATCATCCACCTCCCGGCAACATTGTACTCGCACCACCCATCGACGCGATTGCACCGAGACTGTCGATGGCACCTAGAATGCCGACTCAGCAGCATACGCGACAACGACCCTTCAACGACGACGACGATAGCAACAAGAATGTTAGGATAAGTTAAACATATCAAGAAATAAAATTAATTCTGTTTCGATCTCGAACGAGTCAAGTCGTTATTTCAAAGTTTCCGAAGTTCTTAACTATCATAATACTACGAAAATTACTCAGAGGTAACGAGACCACAACGACAGGCCTGAAGGACGAAAGGATTGTGTTTAGGGCACTGTGGGATTTGTGAATTTATCCTCCGGGTGAGAATTACCCAGCGACACTGGAACGTCAGAGGAGCAATTGAAGACGATAGTGATGGCGAAACGAGATCTACCAAAGAGAAATCATGCGCCAACGTACTCGTATTTGGACTTATAGGATAATATCTCAATGCATCTCAAATTCTCTCAGTTTCCGAGCTGTTAGATTTACAGCACCCAAATTTCCATAACATGCAACAGTGTCGAATTTTCAATACAACAAATACTTTTGTTGTAGCCCACCAAGTTGACACTTAAGCCAATTGACAAAATGGAGATGTGAAATAGCAACAACCGACTTGCGCACATGTTGCACTAGAATGTTAACGTGTGATTGAATTCTCACCACATGTTTTCTTTCCGCATAGCGTTGAATGAAAACTCTACCTTGCTTCTTTTCCCTTCCCTAATAAAATTGTTATAGTTAGTTTGCTTAACGACGTGTTCCGGATATTATCCAAACCATTTGTGGAATAGTTCTATCATTTGGGTTATCATTCGTTTATGGTATTTTTCATTGGGGTTCCATTTCGGTTACATTCGCCTATGTACTTCTTTGTACGATAGCGAGTGTATTGGTTCATGATGTTTTGTAAACCAGACAAGGTACCTCCCACAGACTACTTGAAATGTGTAGAGTTTAAGTTTCGTTAGCTTAAGCTAAAGAAATAAAAATTATTACTAACCGTTACGCTAACCGAAATGCATGCATTCTCCAGAACAAGTATCACAGCCAAAATGTACATTACATGGCTGACCGTGAAGCGGTAGTAAAAATGAGTTAGACAACCAATAGTTAAAGCGAGTTGAAACACCAATAGTTAAAGTGAGTTAAAACACTGGTGGTTAAAGTGATTTTGAACAAGTGAAACCAACATGGGTACCGAGGAATGTAAGGAACAATCCCCCAAGACCATGGGTGACCAAACAGTGACGATTGTGGAGAACCAGCAGGTTCACAACGAGTTTCATGTCAATCATGAACTGAAATTAAACATTATCTTAATAATGCTCACAGTTCACGCAGTAATAGCAGTCGCAAAAATACTGCTGCAATGTATGCGTAAAACCATGGACAAAGTAGCGCAAAATCCCGTGATGACACAAAACGTTTAATCGTTACAAAAAAAAAGTAGACCGAACAGAGTGTGTGTACAACCAAATAAACGTTACTAAATAAAAAATTAAACTGTACAATCTGTTACTGTTAATCGAATCGAATCGAAGTTAAAGCCGCACAACTAGGTTTTAATAAATACGAGCATAAACCCCAAGAACAAAAATACTACGCGCGCGGAGCAGAAGAAAAGTGCAAACGCGTAAAAGTGTAACAATCTAAAATACAACTGCAGCAGAGACCACTGTCGCCAGGAGTCGGCAGGCGGGTTTACATGGAACGTTACGGATGAGTACGGGCGTGCAGCAGCTGGATAATCAACAACATAGTTATAACAATAAAAAGTATTTAAGAATAGTTAAGATAGTGATACAGTATTGAATTCATTTTTCAAGACACATTGAATTTGGTTTATTTTATCTGGATCTTGTTGATTGGAATGGTTATCAACCATTACATTAAATTATATGTTGTGAATGTGTTTTGTCCTTAAATGGAAGATTACTTGAAATTCCAACAATCAAAAAATCAATTAATACCAAGTTGAAAGAAGAAACCTTGAAAACCAAATTAAAACTTACTAATGAACTATATGGCTCAATTTCAAACCGGATGGATCAAGATGAGGAACTTTTATCCGAATATCAACTAAATACCTACAATTTCAACAAATTCTTCTTATTAATATACATTTTAAGTTTTTAAATTTGGAAAATTAGGGAATAAACATAAGTTTTCTAATCATCTTACGCCATCTCCTTATCCATTTAAAGTAGGCAAAGTTAATACTAACGAAATGACGGATCCAGTATTTGACATTAAACAGGCAACAGCCATCGTGCAACCGTATGATAGCAATGCCGAAAATCTTGATTCGTTTGTGGATGCAGTAAAACTACTTAAAGATGTGCTACTAACACAGGTAGCAACGGCCATTAGACTCTTAAAGCCAGATAGACTGGCAAAGCCAGGATTGGTATGCAAAATGATTATAATACCATTGATGAACTTATCAATGATATTCAGCAAAGATGCAAAGGTACACCTCACCGGAAAATATTATTTCTCAAATGAAAGCAATAAAAATGAAATCTAATGAAATCGTGAGAGCTTATTGTGTCAGCATTGAAAAATGCTATGTAAAATTGAAATCAATTTACATAAACCAACAAATACCACCAGCAGTAGCTTAAACAATGGCTCGAAAGGTTGGTATTGATACACTAATTAACGGTATCAATAACCAGGAAGTAAAATTAATTCTGAAGGCTGGAACATTCGCCAGCCTGGCCGAAGCCATTACCAAAGTTAATGAAAACAGCCAAGAAACAGCACAGGGGACTCAGATATTGTCCTTCGCTAAGGTAGCGGGACAACAAGCGACCCGAGGAAATTTTAGAAGAGGATCAAGAGGGGGATATAGACAATATAACAATAATAGGCAAAGTTGACAGTGGCAACTAACTATGGTACTGTTCAGATTGAATAGATAAACGTATCCCCGGATTCGAGACATCAACAAACAATCATGTATACTGTTTCTGGTGTGTAAGCCATAATATTATGGATGCAATAGTTGTCAACTCTGATGGGAAGATCAACTTGATCTCGTAAGCGAAGAAAGATCGCGTGAATAATGCGTTTTAAACGGTATCAAAACGAAATTTTCAATCAGAAAACTAAGCGATGTTGGCATTTCGAACCTAAGCAAAAGTAATGCCATAAACAAAAGAAGCTAGATATGTGGAATAGATCGTAGCAATTTTTAAAGAAACCGAACGGAAGCGTGTTCGAGAAGCTGCGGCTACATCAACAGAGCAAGTTACGATGATGATGATGATGATGATGATGATGATGGATATGCCATTCCCATCCAAACAATAAACAGAACACAAATTCAATCATACTAAACAAACAATTCATCCCCAGGCAGCAAAGCCAACGCCCGGGTAAAAATAATGCAATTATGCAATTCTAAACGAGCCATATGTGTAGCCACTCGGTACTGGACTTGCAGCGCTCTTTCACCCTCTATCCACCGTTCATGTGTTGTCCGAGGTGGTTCGCGCAGCACGAAAGGTTCCGAGTGACAACGCCGGGCGCTCAACCGAAATATATGCAATATAACTGATAATGCTAGGATAAGCATTTTTGTCGCTGTGTGTCCCTCCAGTCGTTTCACTCTTTAATGATATGACTCTTTTTAACATATAGGAAACATTGTAAACCATTGTATAAAAGGAACATGCATTTTAATAAACAGAAATTCTAATTCTAGAGCTGGACTCTGACTGGGTTCACCTCGGTCAGACCAATAGAAACTCTATTGTGATAACAAACGATACAAAATACGTCCGAATCTAAAGAACAAGATCAAGACGTCAAACAGGTGGGGGACCAATAAGTGACAGTGATAGTAAATCATCAAATCTACACATAATATAACTCTCAGCATGAGGTGATTCTGTGGATAATAATAGCAATGGTAGCAACGTTGCTAATTATGAAAATTTAAAAATTAGCAATTGCATATTGCAAAAAGCAAGCGTTTAAAACAGCAAACATTCAAAATGTGTAGAACAAACTTAACATTTTAAAGTGAAAAGGACAAACAAAAAACAGTGTAAAAATGTAATGCAAAGAAGGAAAGAATATATTTATGCACTGAGCGTCATCAACAAGTGCTAATCAATCATTAGAAAAACGAAGAAAAAAACAATACAATGAACATTGCACTGTGTTCATTGTGTAGTGTACCTACATGCTTCCATCAAAATTTAACATAGACACATTAAGCAACGCTACTTCAGTGTCAGCATTTTGGCATAACCAGCAAGTATGAGAACGATTGCCTCCATCGTGTCTCACCGTAAATTGTTCAACTAAAAATGACTCCTCGTCAGCATGTTTCAAGTCAGGTAGCTGGTAACTATGCATAGAAATAAAGACAGCACATTCTAACTCCAACATCGGTTGTGTTTTTCTAGAAAAGAAGTGAAAAAAGAGGAAAAGATAATAGGATGTACTCGTGTACACGCGCAAGCTCAAGTTACCAGCACATTCCATCGACTACGTGGACCATGTGCACATTATGTACACATTTGTTGCCTTCTCCAGTATATCTGATAATAAATAAATTCATTCTAGTTTGAACTACTAACCGAGTCGGATGTAATTAATTATTCTAGCAATCCGAAAACCGCGAAACATCTCAGTAGTAAGTATTTCCGAAGAAATATTATTATTATTATTTATCTTTATTAGGGAGGTTTTCAGCCTGGGGCTGGTTCGCCTCCACCTTCCGAAGAAATAGTAAAGCAGTGTGCAGAACATTTTCAAAGGGAAAAAAGATATTGACAACGTTCAACCCAAAAGAGAACATCTGCGACAAAAGGAGAAATAGAAAGCTAAGGAAGCAATAAGTGTAGCTATTTTCAACTTGGGAGCTGGAGCTGCCCTAAAAGCCGAGAATCGGAATCAAATAGACTTGTTGCTGTGGGATTACGTGGGATTAACAATGAACATTAATGACTACAAGGACCGGATTATGAATTTAATGAATTCAACAGAACCGAGGAGGAGTAATTGGATTCAACAGAACTGAGGATGATGTTAAGCTGCTTCCTTGAAATGGTATCCAATACTTTCTACAATGACGTAGTCGTTAATAGTCTTATTTTTAACAACAAATACTAAATTAGAACTTTTATTTTAGGAAATGGAAAAGGAACGGAAGAGAACAAAAACTAAATAGAAACAGTTCGAAAACTGTAAGTAATTTTAGAATTATATTTTTAACGTGATGGAATGGATGATTTTTTCAAAATTCAATATGTAATAATAAAATTGCATCAAAAATTAATAAAAAAAAAAAACAAAAATATAAAACTTCCACAAGAAAAAACAAAATTATGGAAATTTCAAAATTCAAAGAAGAACTAAATCGTCCTTAAGAGAATCGAAATTGCAAAATGAAGTTAAAATATCATTAATAAACAGATACAAAAAATTACGTGGGAAAAGCTTGAAAATCGTAAATGGAAAAAGTTTAGATAAAATCGCTGTAGTATATACAATTGCAGGGACATTCCTTTATATAACGTCGGTCTCTGTTCCGCAATCTAGTGCCAATCACCGGCGGACATCGATTGCCATCCATTGACGGCAATCGAATGTGCATCAACATCAATACCTGCGTAGGATATCGCACCCATTCAAACACACATGAGCCGGGACCAACGGCTTTACTTCCCTTCCAAAGAAAGACGTGACCAGAGTATGCCTCAGAAAAATCCCACCGACCTCGGCTGCGATTGAACCCATAACCCACTCACTTGGCCAGGCTTCAGAATCATTCAATGAGCGCACTGCCCTATACTCCAAGTTCCTTTCTTTCCAATTCACCCCAAATTATATACTTTGCCCATGGATTAATCACAATGAAATATTGTGACAGAGCACGGTTTTGAGGTTACTCGAGTATTAAATAATATAGATCCTATTTAGGATTACATCTGAAAAATCCAAATTTGAGCAACGCCCCCACTCAGTTTTCGGCTCCGTGGAGTCCTTTGGACATTTGACACTAACCAATAAACTAATCGAAAAAAAGGGCAGACCTTGCGAAGATCTGGGTATCGGCACTCCAGTCATCTCATTCTTACTGTAGTGTTCGACCAACCGAGTGAAACCCGTTTTGCTATTGGGCGACCAAACTGTTATACGCAGGCTTGAAGTTAGAATAAAGTCCTTTTCCTGTCTCTTTTGGTTTGTAGACAGTAAGGAAGACAGACGTATTTTACCTACTAGCGAAAAGTCTTGATATTAAGAACATTTCACTTACATATATGACAATTAAGATAAGCGACAACATGTAAAGAAGACAAAAATTGTAGAACTGTCTACACTGATTGACGACAAATAAATAAAAAGTCAAGATTGGATACCGCATAGTACAAGAAAGCCTTCTTCAGTATAAAAACTCGCTCAATCAAAACGACCCATGTATGCCAAACCTGCTACAACCAAAAGTATAGCTGCTCCAATAAGCGCTAGCCATTGACAGATCAGCATAATTGTTTGTAAACAAAGGTGCAACCGATATCTCCACCCTGAGTTTTGTTGGATTACGACGGTGAAGCACCGCAAAAACGAAAACGAAATTGGGTTCCTTGATCTTCGTCCTTTTCATCTATGACTTGTATCTTCAAATATCATCTGGAATACTGCTCTTTGCCAACGATCTCGTTAACTACAAAGTCGTTAAGTGTTTATTGGACTATGTTATTTTGCAGGCAGACATCGATGTCCTTTCGCGATTGTGCAAAGGGTAGAAGTGTTAAGTGATAACTTTTCCCATCAATCAACGCTACAATGTTGAAACTGAATTAGGTAGCTGTAACGTGCGCAGTCTACCCGTGATATGGGAATTATCATCTACACTCAAAAAATAAATCACATTTCCAATGGAAAACATCCATTAGAACTTCACATAACTTTCATGTGATCTAATAATTGGGAATTGCACTAAAAAATCACATGAACCTTATGTGTCCAATGAAATGTATGTGATTTATCACATAGAATTCATGGTATCATATGAATGTTATGTGAATTTCAGATAAAAATAATTAATTTTGTTATTGGAAAAATATCATGTGCGTTCCCAATGGAAACTATATGATTTTTTTTTCGGTGTATCATTCGATTCAACGAACACATCACCACCGTTACTGTAAACATCTGTTTTCAGTTCTTGGGTTCATCCGCAACAATGGATCACAATTCACCGCCTTGTACACGCTAATAGCTTACCATCCCTAAAACGTAACTTTACTATTACAAATTGTTGTCTGCGTTGTTAGCCCCTCTTCCCATCAATGATTATTGATCATATACATCAAAGGAGAGACATACAAATTTGACCAATCATTAAGGCAATCCGTGAATCACTAGTTAAGAATCGCTACCTTACTTCATTTTAATACGCGCTACGATGGCCGCAGCCGAACTTGAACAATTGATGCCCGATGACGTAGGACTAGAATCAACGGTACTGGGTGGTGCTGGTGCTATTTTTACAAGCTTCGATTTTGCCCCACGTGCCACCTTTGTAACTCTACCAGATGTGATGAGAGATACAGTGTTGTTGTTGTTAATGTTGGCACCCGGCACAATGCTACTACTATTACTGCTGCTACTACTACTACTACTCGTAGGTGATGCTTTGATTGCAATGGACTTGGTAGTCATAACTGTCGAGCTTGTTGAGGTAGCTCCATATGGTGCCGGAGATGGGGTTCCAGAAGCACGATCCAACTCCATCATTGCTTCCTGAATGGCGCGTTCTAGTTGAGAATTCAGCTTTCGTCCCCTGGAGATAAGAAATAAATCATTAGAATTTAATAGTATATCATCGAAACTAATGCAAACTACTAGAAATGTCAAAATGCCAAACATAAGGCTTAAAGAGGTTCAAGCACTGAGCAACTAATTTGACTAACTGTATCTCTATATCTACTGGTAATGTCCTGCCAATCTTAAAGCTATATTATTCTCACTTTCTGGCGTCCTTCTGTGCTCGGTGATGAGCTTCGAGGCCTTCGGACAAGGTTTTCAACCCGTTTACGGCGACCATTTCCGCATTTGGACGGCCACCGAACCAACGGACCCAAACGCAATCCACGGGAATCGTACGGCCATCATCCGGAGAGTCTATCACTTTGCCTGGCCAAGCCGGAAAACCACGAACTGCTCCCCAGACCAGCTCACCAACGCTGAATGATCTCGTTGTTGCCCCGTTAGCACTGCTATGTGTGGCACCGGGAGAAACGACCGGACTTGGACTCGGTGCTGTATTTTCTTGCACAGAAACTTGCGTTGGTGGGTCTATCGTAGAAACATTTATCATTATTATAAATTAATGACGTTCGGTTTTTTCTAATACATTAAGTTTGTTAATGCCACAACACACACTGTACAAAAGTGAGTAACGAAATGAATAGGATCGATGATATTTGTGAAGCCTCTTGCACCGTATTAATCATTGCCAAGCACCGCACCGCTTCATCACACAAATGAGGACAATTTTCTGAATGTCTCGCAAGGACTGAATGGAAATTATGAATATTGGGAATTGTTTCAGCCAGGTATTTTCCATAGACAGTGACGTGATGTTGGTGAAACTAACATAATCAACATTATGTTCTAGTCAATTATATACCTACTTTATAATTAATAATTTAAAACAAAACATTATTAGCTCTCAAAAAAGTGTTAAATTGTTTAGATCTAGGGAAATCTATATTATCCAAAAAAAGGTCGTTTGTCAAAAGCCGTTTAGGAAAAAAAAACTATAGACTTAACATATTCTTACTGCTTTCATACCTAAGTCAAATCTAGAAAATCCATGTTCCACGCCTGCCTGTGAAGTCAGCTCAACAAACAATTTTAGAAACAGACTAGCTTACACAGGCAAACATTAGCTTTATAAGGCGCTTTTTGCATGTGTAAGCTAATCTACAGCTAAAATTGTTAGTTGGGTGATGAACTCACTCCCTAAATAATGTAAATATGTTTAGAAAGGGCTCTGGAATGTATCCGAAACAGAATTTGATCCAGATTCTTAATTAACAAGATTACCAGCTTATCGTTGTCATGCCCAAGGAATCAAAAATATCTCCAAATGGCAAAACGACAAGCGCAACGAACCGAATGATAACGCTATGTCAGAAGTGGAAAGCAATAATGATATAATCTTCTTCCTTCTTTTTCATGAAAAGCAGCCCGTGCGACACAGCTCACTCGGGGCGGTAGAAGGAAACGAGCAAATTGTTGGCAAGCTGCTTCACGAAGTAAAGCCGAAGATGATACACGTGTGTTAATGGGAATTTTTGTGTTAAGTCTTTTCTCGATTCAGATCAAGCTATGTCCTAATCCGTGTATATTGCAACAAAGGAGGCAAGCAATATATTATTATCCTTCTACCACTCCGATCGAGCTTTGTTACATAGCGAGTTTATCATGGTAGTCGTAGCAACAGTTTTGTCGGTATCGTTGGTTGCTTTATGTGTTTGGATGCGCTGGTCATGCCACACTTGATCTTAAAGTTTTCTGGAAATTGTTGCATTCACTTGACTAGTGCTCAAACTGTAGTAAAATGTTAAGAACACTACTATTGATCAACCCATTGGTACCGAAACTTCGAAGGCCGCAATCATGCCATTGTTTCCGGTTTGATTTACACGATGTCTTCCAATATTTTGACAGCAACAATTATAAGTTAAGATCAAAAAAAAAATTCTCGTATTGCCCCAAGAAGGGTATGCCCATTTCGCTCCTAGGGATAATGCGCGATAAAAATTACTCCATTACCACGGGAAATTGCAAACATCAGTGCAATCATTCAGAGCAACTGTTTAGTGAAAGTAACAGTGATCAGTAATAGCCCCCGGTAGTCGTTGCCCCGTCGGTGCGGACGCTATTCCCACTCCGGAGCTGACGATAACCACCCGACGCTGGAAGGAGACTGGAAGAGGGTCGCACAAGGGTGAGAACACCCATCCCCCTGTGGACGACGAGGGAAGAAAGGATAGTTCCAGTATCGGGACGGACAAGGGAAATTCAGCCCATTCCCCGAAGGATTTCGCGGGAACAAAGAAAATCGCAGCATCTCTGGAAGATGCAAGCAACATCAAAGTACAGTCAAATAATACCAATGCTCCCTCCGTTGGGACATCCCTGCCCTGGGTGGGTGGAACGCCTCCACCTGCCCTTGGTGGGGCTCTATCTCATTCGGCATACGTAACCGATTCCTCAACCGACTTAACCGACCACGATTCCTCCAGCAGCTTTAATATAGATCCGCCTGACGACCACAGCGGTAGTTTGCACCACAGCCACACCGGGTCCACCGTATCGAACAGCCCGTACCCCACACCGGCCTTGCCCAAGTCAGCCAACTGTATACTCCAATGGAACGTTAACGGCTTCCTGCAGCGGATTGGAGAGCCTCATCGAACAGATGAACCGCTCCCTCGGCGGAAGATACAACTGGACAAAGAAAAGCGGTAGAAATTTCCGACACTCCGTAGCCATTGGGGTACTAAACACGGTACCTTTCCGGGTTATCGACTTAGACTCACAATTACTCATACTCGGGGTTCAACTTACAGAACCAGTCAACATCACCGTTGCCTGCATTTATTTGCCATGTGGACGAATCGGTAACCTCAACTGTCAACTCAGCGAGACCCTAATGAAATTACGTGAACCACGCACCCTAGTTAGGGACGTCAACGCGCACCACTCAAATTGGGGTTGCCCTCGGTGAACAAGCGGACTGGGAAAGCTACGGTGCTACTGTGGAGACTCTACTACTACAGTGGAACCCGGACAGTATCGAGGACCTCTCGGACGCCATATACGAAGCAGCAACGGCCACCATCCCCAAGCGCTAACATGTTGTATGGCCAAAGTCCTAGAGCGTATGGTCAATCGAAGACTGAAGCAACACCTCGAAGCTGGAAATTTCCTTGATCACCGACGGCACGCTTTCCGACAAGGTTTCGGAACGTCCACCTATTTCGCAACCCTAGGGGAAGTTCTTCAGAACGCCTACGACAGTGGCCTGCACACCGAGATAGTATCGCTCGACATATCGAAGGCCTTCAACAGAACGTGGACGCCCCTCGTCCTTAAGCAACTAATCGACTGGGGTCTTAACGGACCCATCGTTCACTTCATCCAGAACTTTTTGTCCAACCGCTCATTCCGAGTCGCAGTCGGCAACACCAAATCCCGGCTTTTCCCCGAGGAAACGGGTGTCCCAAAAGGATCGGTTATCGCCGTTACCCTGTTCCTCGTGGCGATGAACGGAGTCTTCCGTCAACTACCGAAAAACATATATGTGTTCGTCTACGCCGACGACATCCTCATCGTCACCACCGGACCCACGCCAGTACGTACAAGGATGAGAGCCCAAGCGGCAGACTCCGCCGTCGCCAGGTGGGCTTTGAATGATCATCCTCTAAAAGCATCAGGTGCCATGTCTGCCCTTCTCGACACAGAATTAGCGGACCACCGATCAAAATCGACGACCAGTCCATACCGCTGAAGAAGACCGCCCGAGTTCTTGGAGTTCTCATTGACCGATTCCTCAACTTTGAACAGCATTTCAGTGCAGTCAAGAAAAATTGCCGCAGCATTTTCAAGAAATTTGTAAAATATTGAGATTAAAATAAGTGGCCCATCTCGCCCCATATGACCGCTTTGCCCCATCTACCCTATCCCTATTCACTATTGAGTTTTTCTTGATCAACGCATCCAACGTTGGTACAAATGTTATAATTTATCATCTCAGAACAAACTTTTCCTGTAACTCTTCGAATCGCCCATTTTTGTTATTCTTTTGGGGAAAATCTGGCTCCAAACAGGTGTCAAAACTTTGAGCTTTATTTTCCTTGGCCTTCGACAATCTTAAAACGAAATTTGCCCCACTTCTTACTCTAACCGTTTTCTTTTTTTTATCTTTAAACACTACCATACATGATCAAAATGTTGCTTCTATGATTTCCCAAGTCAACATAACAACGTAATATCATTATTCTCTTTCCCGCGCATGGGTACCTTTAAAATTGATTATGCCAAAATACTCTGGGCTGGAAGAGGTTATTGTAGAAACAACAAATCGACGTTGGCCTGTGCTGTTACTGTGGACATCGATGCATAAGTGAAATTACAGCAGTTTATGAAAACGCAAAAGACATTACTGAAATCTACTTATAATTCTAAATTTTAGCAACATGCACTATCAATACAACATAATTATGTAGTTTTCTCTTAATATATGGATAAACATTAAACGAAAAATTACACATAAAAGAATAGCATAAGTTTGTATCTACTTGAATATATATTGGCTTTAGTGAACAATGGCTATATTCTACGAGTCATGACTGATAATTTTATAAATAACTAATTATTTAAAATCACGTTACATGCAGAATCCTATAATAGGTAGAGTAAACAGGCTGAATCAAAATAGGGAGATCAAGGATCAAGACATTCGAGCAGTTTAAAATGACTTTTCCTACCACTAGAACTTATAGTCACTATATGTATAGTCTGTCGGATACAAAACCTTGTGAACTGGCAACTTTGGTTTTTGCAATAAAAATTGTGAAAATGGTCAAGACTTTGCAAGGCGGTTTTGTTTTACAAAGCATTTTTTTTTATCTTCGCAGTATCAATAGCAATGCTAACATTTATATTCGGAATAGCAGAAAATATTTGCAAAGAACATCGATCAACTTGCACTTTTTAACGCATACTTGCAATGTATGCTCCGAATCACGATTCTATTCGTATACAAAAATTGATAAAAAAAAATCATTGTTTGCCGTTTATTCATTAATTGCATCGATGTTCCTGCAAAAAAAAAACGCAACAAATATTTCGTTCACGACCACATTGATAAATTATCACCTATTTTTATTTTATTTTTGTTCGATTTAATTATTGTCACGATTTCAATACGAGGTGGAAGTCAGTAATGCTCGATTGGCTCCAGCAAATGACAGGTCAAATTGGCTCCGTAAGACTATGAATATAGTGACTATACTCAAACTTTGCCGCGGGATAGTATTTTAAAAAATATCTTCGGGAACCTCGAGAAAATAGGGTCTTATTTATGTTAAGCTAGAAAAATCAGGAATTTATCACTTCACTTTCTTAAAATCGCTGGTAGAAGGTGTCTCAAAACTGCCCGACTGTATGGATTATTACTTTTTTTGTAGGTAACCTGTTGTGAAAGGAATTATTGTAAGTGCTCCAACGCATTCATGTTGTAACCACTTTCCACGGTCAAATGTTGAGAATTATGCAAACAAAAAGAAAAACATCTGGCGATGAACTGAACAAGCCATAAAATGGTAAAAAGTGAACAGCAACAAGCTTTTAGGTCAATAATGATTTTTAAATAGGTACATCGAATGATTCTTTTAGCACATTTAAACGAACAAACAGAATGATTTGATTATTTGCTGATAACTGAAACTAAACAGGCTTTTGACATTTTTGTATAACATATGTGTCGCTTATTCATAAATGCATGATAATGAGACAAGAGAAACAGATGTTGAAGTAGGACTTTTCTGCAGTAAGTATGCGGAAGTAGGTAATTTGGGCTCATATCTGTTTGTCTTTGAACTTGCTACAATTCTCCGTTTATATCCGCTAACCTTATCTGATAGAAGTGACCTTGAGAATGTTGCAGTTGCTGATGGTGTTGCTGATGGTGTCCTTCAGTGAAGCGCAGCAAAAAGTGAAAACCATTTTAAGTATTCGTTGGATAGTAACGTAAGTTAACAGTACGTATTTAATTGGAGTTATGGTGAAAAGTGATTACACAGGGTGAAAAGGGATGATTGAATGGGGGAGAAACTATGCAATAGTGAGGAAGCATTACACTCGTGTGAAAGTTAAATCAAACCAATCACCTCACAGCACACGTTAAATTTTCGAAATTTCTCTACCAAAAATGTTCATGCTTACCATGAGAATCAGGTTGAACACCGTGGGCCGGTGAACTTCCTTGGCGCATTATTTCTGCTGAGTGGTGACTTTGATGATGACGAGATTGTTGCTGTGATGCAATATGAATCTGGTGGTGATGTGAAAGGCTAGTGCTAAGGTTGCTTGTGATGTTGCTACTGTTGCTATTACTGTTGTTGTTGCCGGTGCTGCTACTGCCCTCACCAATGGTACTGCGGACAAAGGACGATAGTGGCAGGTGGGTGGAAGGTTGCATGCGTCTTACTTTCGACTCCGATGGTTTACAAATGGTGCGCTGATATGAAGAACCACCTTAAAGGAACAGTTGTCATTTAAACAAAAAAAAAAGGATTTAAACTATTTGCATAAATTTGCGTGTCATAAAAGCAAAGCGATTAATCTTAATGCGAGTACATAAACTTAAGTTGATGCAGATAAAAGTACCGAAAACAATTGCCTTATTTCTCTATACGGTGTCACATCTGACCACTAGAAAAATCTTCATACCATTTTTTATTCTTTATTATAGAGGTTTCCAGTCATTGGTTGGTTCGCCTCTTATGAAAAAGAAGAGGCCTTTAATTGAGTGGCCACAAAGCTCTTCAGTACCTACCTACATATCGTGAAGGAAATGCAATACATTATATGGTTTTATAACACTAGTCCGAATTCAACTAGCCCAAATGCCACTAGTCCGAAAATAATAATTGTAGGAGATTATTCCTTCTTTAAAATATGAGCAGTTCATTCGGGGTGCACTGTACTGTACTGCGAGAGAAGTTTAAGTTTGAGATTTAAAAATGTACTTAGGGAAAATTGGTGAGCTCTAGGATTAAGAAGACTGGCAACTTTGCCAGAATCCAAGCGACAGATGCAGTACCCAAGTAACCACAGACACGTTATTTCGCCTTTTTGGCTATATACGGGCCTCATCAGAACTTAAAAACACTGCTATACCCGTTGTTCAGCTGTATACAGCCAAAAAGGCGAAATAACGTGTCTATGGTTACTTGGGTAGCGCTGCACTTGAGCGAAGGTGAAAGCAACGCATAGAAAAATGAGCAAATACACAAACCTTCTGAGGATGTAATCTTTACTATCAAATTCGTTCAAAGCATTTACCTTTGAGCGGCAGATGACGCGATTGTGACCTGTCTCAATAGCGGTGTACGAGAAAATGGAAGAGTTACCAGTCTTCTTGACATGTTGTCTTCGATTAAAGTCAGTCTGTCACAATCTAATATTTTATAGAAGATTTTTTCTTCCTTTAAACATGAGCAGTTCTTCCGAAAACTTTGAATCTTTTCTACAAAGTTGCAAATAATATAGCTCAAAATCAGACTATTTTCAAACGATTTGGGCTTGTGTTTCATTCTGGCTAGTGACGTTTTTAAGCTAAACAATATTTGTTCTATGGATACTTTTGCGTCAAACAATATTTTGATATAGTCAGCCAAGATGTTCATCTTTACAATTAGACCCCCAGGGTTTTGCAAAACGTTTAATTGCCGGAAGTGTTCACACAGACTTCTCATTTAAGCTTTGGTAAACTCGTTCGTTGGGTGAAAATCGAAAAATGCGTATTTATTCCACTGGGAGTAGTGTTTCCATGGTCTCAACCCACGCTCGTTCGACTGTTGGAGGCAGCTGATCGTCTCACGAGATATCGCATAGCCATAGCTCCTAGAACAGAATCTTGCCATTTGTTCTGTTAGGTTCACATCGACCGGTGCTTAATTGTCCTCCGGCGCTTCCTCTTGTAGTTCCGAGCAGTTCGTGGTACATTTCCGTAAGTCAAAAACCAGGACTTCACAACGTAAGCGTACTACGACGCGGCTCTCAAACAAAGGAGTAACAAGTGAGATACTATGACTGCCAGACTAGATCTTTGGTTCTCTCATGCAGTGGTTCATCAGAGAGGGGAAGCTTAGTAATCCCAATCACCTGCCCATGGCGCCATTCTATCGCGGCATGAGCCTAAAATACCGGCCATAAACCTACCGTCTCCAACACTCCACTATAAAGCATAAAATTAAGCCCGCTCACCAGCAACACCAGGTGCAAAAACTAGCCAAGGGGAGGGTAAAAAATAAAGCTATTGCATATGGGTTTCAAATACATTTCATTTGATTCTAATAATTTGGTCGATTTTCATTCCTCATATGTAAATGTATCAGATATTTATATAGAATTTACCCGAAACATTTTCAAACATAGCGTTTTCATTGGATTTTCTTATATTGCAAATTTATTAGACTTCCACATAACAGGAATATGTCATATTGGTTCAGTGTAGTCTCCACTTCCAGTACGTTTGCTGGTATTTCCTCCATGCCAGGTATGCACTGAGGAACTTCGAATACATCTTGTGAAAATCCTTGCCCTGCCGGAACGTCTCTCCATTGATCGCAATCACTTGATGAACGTAGTGAGTGACTTACCCAGCGTCGGCCCATTTTCTTCACGTGTGAGAGCAGACCTAAAAAGCTCGGTGGCTGCTTGTTCAGAAGGGGTAAGCTGTTGTGGCTTCGGAACCTCCACCTGCTCCCAACATCCGCAAGGAGCGGTTAACGTCTAACTCTGCATGAATATTGGTGATCGATGTTGGCTTGACGTTGGTCCCATGACGTACACATTTGTCTTTAAAACAGATGTAGCAACGGTTGGCAATAACTAGCTTCACAAAGCTACGAGTTGTTTCTGCTGCATGCTGTCCCAGCTCAGAGACTACCATCACAAACAAACAAACATAACACATTGAACATTTCTCACTGTAAAACATCGTCGCTACAACGCTACTGCCATCTGTTGAGTACACCGTGACGGCCAATACACTCAATAGATGGCGGTAGTGTGTAATAGGGTGCTTCATTCTGAAAAAAGTGATGAATTTCTGATGGGCCACCCTCCAGTTCGATTCATAGCCCCAAAATATGAACCTGTGCAAAAATTGGTAAAGATTGATGAAGGTTTAGAGGTCGCGCCAATGATTTGAAATTTGTATGGGAATTACTATGGAAGAATTTAAAAAATCGCTTATATCGCTATAACTTTGCTTCTACTTGTCCAAATGTCGAAAAAATTTAGTATGTTATTGCTATGGCAATAAACAAAAAGCCTACAGTTGCTACGCTCAGTTTTGCAGCGTATCAAGAATTATAAAAATGTGAAAAAATGGCAAAATAGGGTAAATTGACAGATGAATATGTACAAGGCAACAACGCCAATTTCATCGCAACAACAACAGGCTTGTTGATCATTGTCATGACAACCACATATTTTTTTTTTTCAACGTTTGGACAACTACAACCAAAGTTAGAGCAATGTAAACGAAAATCAATAATTTCCCATACTAATTCACCAAAATCTCCATACAAAATCCAAATCATTGGCGCGACCTCTAAACCTTCATCAATCTTTACCATTTTTTGCACAGGTTCATATTTTGGGGCTATGAATCGAACTGGAGGGTGGCCTATCAAAAATTCATCACTTTTTTCAAAATGAAACACCCTAGTGTGTAAACGCCAAACGCAAGATAATAGACTATGCACGCCACAGGTGGCGGTACTATCAGCAAAGAAACATTAAAATTTACCGTTAAATGCGTGTTTTTTTCCTAGATTTGTTTTCCGTGCTGAGCACCAATGCTACCGATGCCAGGGAGGCAGCTCCCACACCTGGACCCTACCTATCGACCCATCAACTCATGAACCGGGGACCAACGGTTTTACTTCCCTTCCGAAGGAAAGCGTAATCGAAGAGTTATGCCTCAGAACATCCCGGCGGCGCCGACTGGTATTGAACCCATGCCTGCTGGGGTGAGAGGTAATCACGCTTACCACTACACCACCGGTGCCACTTAAATGCGTGTTCGATGAACAATTTGCGAGTGTGTGTGCTACCACCTTTTCATTTGAACGAGGCAGACCGAGTTTATTCACGCAGGTTTCCGAGATCAGCGATGATTCCCGAATAGATGGAAGCTTGTACTTGGAGAAGACCACCATCGGCTGCTTACAGTTATCGTTCCGACACACTGATTTAGAACCAAAAAAAACTTCAACTTGTGCGAGGATCGTAGACAGTTGAAGCACAACTTCGCTTTCTTCACTAGTTCACGTTTGCGCTGAGTGTCCATTTGCTTGAACTCATCACATTGGTATAACGAATGCTTTTCTTTTGCTGCAGCTGAATACAGCGACTGAATTTTCTTCTCGGAGCAATTCTCGCTGAAACCAGTTCATTTTTTGCATGAGGTTCTCAATAACCAATATTTTTGTACTTAATCAGAAATTCTAGTTATCAAATTAGAAAAATTGATAAAAATTATTATTTTATTATTTTATTATAAAAAATCATTATGGCGGCCAAATACAATATGGCTACGACATTTTGATTATGCCAAATTACAGCTCTAACTTTCTCCTTTTCAGTCATATGCAGCTATTAGGAATTTTTTTTCCAAATTTTCAAAGGAACAGTGATTAAAATCATATGGTGGGCTCAACACTTTTTAATTTTCTTCTATTTGCATGCACAAATGAGATTGCTCTATCATCGACATTTGAACTGTACCAACAAGTCAGCACTCGTGATTATTTTAGTTATCATGGGGACGTAATTTTTTATTAGCCCCGGTTCCTTTCAAATTGTATCTTTATTTATGTACGGCCCTTATATTTTAAATGATGTTTCACATTCATCTAGTGATGACCAATTTTCATTCGAATAATCGATTAATCGATTAACGAACCGAAAAGTAAAATATTTGCAATCGGTTATATCATGCCGATATAAGCATTAACTTCTCCAGAGGATCATCACCCATCGTTTAAAATGCTGCACTCTCATTGGTGGCAAAATGACAGCACAGCGAACAAAAAATAATCGATTAATGGATAATCTAGTAGTTAAAAAATAGGACATCTCCAAAATTCTGATTTTGGTGTGATTGTTTTGATAAAAAAGAGCGCAAAATTTCATCTCTACTGAGGGGGCAGCAAAACCACAAAATTACCTTGCATACGGGGGTTATTCATTGGATGGAAGGGACCGTGAAAGACGACACCAAAATAGAAAGTTTTTCTTCCGACTGTTTCATCTTAGTATTCTTCTTTGAATGTTACTGCTATATGAAAAAATCTCAACTTTTTAATGGTGTGTCAGTGAAAGGCAAGCTCATGAAAAACGAAAAAGATAATAAATCCAATATGGCCGCTAAAATGTTTAAACATGCTAAATTAAAGTCCTAGCTTTCCCATTAATATGGTATGAAAATTAGGGGTTTTCTTGAGAATTTTTAAAGATAT